TTTTTTTTTTTTTTTTTTCCCAGAATGCCAATAATGAAATGGTTATACAAAGAGGGGGCAAAAACATAAAGCCTGTGCTCTTGCTCTTGTTATTAGGAAAGAAGGATAAAAAACTGCACTGAAAAAAAGCAGCCACTCTTTTTTTGTTCCCATGTGCTGCACTAACGAGTATTTTTTCCATCATGACAGCACATTGATCTCCAGAACTTCTCCTCAAGCTGGAACGATGGGATGGCATTCTGTGCTCTCGTGCATTCTTTCTTTCCTGAAGCTTTTGATTATAATAAGCTTGACCCAGCTAATCGCAAGCAGAACTTTGAGCTGGCCTTCACGATGGCCGAGTGAGTACAGTGGCTCTGTGAAGTGCTTCCAGTTCAAGTCTAATGTGCATGGGCAGGTGTGAAGAGTTGAATTACTATTCTTGTAGATCCCGTATCAGTAGCTTGCATGTATCGTGCCAGAAAAGATAAAGCTCTGCATAGAGAACGCTCAGAATGTGTGGGAGATTTCACCTCTGTCTGTACGTTGCTTTGGTTCAAAAAGAATGAAGGTTGAGTTCTGCRTAAGTAGAGATCGAGGCTGACAGATTCTCGATATCTCAACCAGGTAACAACATTTCTGTAAACAGGCAGAGCTAGTACCCTCAGTCACATTGTCTAGATTCTTTTTTGGTGTTGTATAGCAGAGAAGTAAATGCTAACTTGTTTGTTAACATCATTCTGAATATGAACTTGCAAGTCAGAAATAGTAACTTTTTTGAGCTGATATCAGCATGATTCTGATAGTAGGAACACTCCATGTGGTATGCAGCTGGGTTTGGTACACATTTTCCAAATGATAACAGGTGGTAGCAACACGTGGCAAATGTGGTAACTTAAAGAACTGGATTTGCCATTGGTCGTTCAGAAAAAGCCTTTCAAAATTCCTCATGCAATGTTGTTTGACCTTATTAYGGTCTCTAGAGAAGGAATTAATTCGGGAATTACATGGGTTTTTTTAAGTACACATATATGTATATATATAAAAAWTTTTCTTGCTGGTCAGTGAGTAGAAGGACATTCTATGATACTTTTATGTGCTTGATCTCTAAAGAAAAATTACCAATGGCTTTCAAAGGAAAGCTGCAGTGTTCTTCTGCCTCAGTTTATGTAAAGAGTAAATTGAGGGGAGAGTAAAAGACAGCACAAACACAATGCTAAGAAACTTTAGGTGAGAGGTATCTACAGAAATTGCTATTCATCATACTATGATTGCCTTTGAACTGATTTATTCAAGTGCCAGTAAGAGCTATATTCTCACTTACTGCTGTTCACCCCAATGCCAGCTCTGCTGATCAAACTGCTTCCTGCCCTTGTGATTTTTCATCTTAAGCCTCCGCAGATCCGTTCTTTTCTGCTGGTCCGGATCACTCACATCTTGAAGATACGGGGGTGATAGAGAAGAAACAATTCATGGCCGCATGGGCCTTCATCAATGTATCTCATCTCTTCCTCAGTTTTTCCATTCTTTTGGAACTCCCTATATATTAATGAAAAAGTGAGACATGGGCAGAGTAGTGTGAGATGGGGCTACGTGCTACAGCTATAAGAAATGTGAATGATAGTGAAAAAAACCCCAACCCTACATGGCTTTAGGTGAGATCTCAGTATAAAGGARGAGAGAGAAAGAATGGGAATATTCGTGATCGCAAAAATAACAGTGTCCAACCTGACCCTGCTCAATTCATTGTGAAATGAAATGAAATGCTGCCAATAAACMTCGTAAATGCTTTAATCACGCTCAAATCAGAGCAGCAAATCAATCTTGGAARCAGCTATGTAACTCTTATTTTGCTGTATCTGTTTTATTATTACTACAGGAAAATGGCTCACTGCGATCGTCTGATAGAGGTGGAAGACATGCTGGTGATGGGTCACAAGCCAGATCCCATGTGTGTCTTCACCTATGTCCAGTCTCTGTACAGTCATCTACGACACTTTGAATAAAACYGTCAACACCTCTCCAGCCAGCAGGGTCGAGTACAGCATGCTAATGGGAAGAGTGACGTTTTGCAAATGGATCACAGTGTTATATCTTGCTTTTTACTGTCCTGTTGCTTACATTCAGCTGTATGGCTGGCTGACTGAAGTATTGCTGAGCAGTGCCCTGAAGTGTTGATCACATCACCGTGTCAGTAATACAGAATTTGGTTTGAAAAAAAAAACCATAAGCAAAGGCAAATGCTGTCATTTTGGTGCTAGTAGTAGGTTGAATTTTTAGTTTTTTTTATGTTTAGAGATCGCGGGAAGCGAATTTGCTTCYATCTCTGTAAGGCCAGGGAGAATTTTATGCAGTGACTGCTTTGGAGGTGTTCCGCCTTAAAATGCAGGTAGAAGACCAGAAGAGAGCACCTTCGGTTTTGCTTCTGTTGATCATAGTGCAAAAGAAATAGCAGATGGACGGGCAAAATTCTGTTTAGCGAGCAATAACCWAGAGTACTCAACCACTAGGGCAATAATGCCTCTCCTCTTACCCTACCCCTCTGCTCCAGCATACACATGCATGGATCAAAGAGGCATTGTTTTGTTCTCTTTAAACAATAAAAATAAACTAAAAAATAAAGAGAATGTAACCGCTTGTCTGATGAGTGTGGTGACATTACTATGTTACATAATTGGTCTGTAATGATCAAATCTAATGTGATTTGCTGAGAGGCTTGCTAAAGTCTCTGCTGCCATTCCTGGTTTAATTTCTTGATAAAAATAGCAACAGCTGGGGCTGTTCTGTGTCTGAGATTGTGTGCTTGYGTGTTTTAGGATTGCGGGAAAGGTGGGCGCTAGGAAGGTAAAAAATCCTTTGAACAGTTGTGGTAGAAACGAGCCTGTACTGTGCTTTTACCTGGATCCTGGGGGAGAGCAGCTCTTTGGTGTGGGCAGGAGGTGAACTCTTTAGAACTTGCTCAGTACATATGATAACTCTGAGGCAGACGAATGATGTGCAACAAAATATATGAAAGATGTGGGAGTTTTGAAATGCCTTGCACTATTTGCAGTTTTCAGTTAAATCAGCATTAAAACCACACTAGAGATAGATTATTCTAGATTTACTAGACAAGATGGTCCCTCTTTCAGGCTAAGCGTTAAAAACAAAGCCACTAACACACATACTTTAAAAAAGCCTTTTACAGCTGTTTCCTCCCTAAGAACAGGCTCATAGAAAGTAAAAACTAAAAGCCACATGTCCTCTACACATGCTAGAGAATGCATCTTCCCGCTTCAGTGGGGTGATGGTAAAGGTACCTGAGRCTTAGCAGCAACCTGTTTGCAGGGAAGTGGAAGACTGTGTTCCGAGTTGATCTATTGGTGGTTTGTGTGTAAGAAAACGAGGGAGACAGTGGTATGCCCTACTTTTAGAAAAACTTACAGCTTTGTGCATTAAGAGGTCTGCTCTATATGAATAACCTCAACTATTTGACTGTATGATTAAATTGGAATTAAAATATGTAGTGTATGTCCTCAATTGATTTTTTACTATTTTTATTTTTTAAAAAATGTGTAGCATGTATGTATATATGACAGTAACTGTGTTTAGCATGAGTGATAAAAGAACAATATATTAAGTTGGCATAGTATATATTTTACACAAATGGACTGTTTCTTCTATAATGTTTCTGTGTTGTATCTCAAAGTGTATCTACAGTTGTTTATTGACAACTTGATCCTACTTTTAAAGGCTAAATCCATTTGTTCTGTGCAATATTTTCAAGATAGTGTCAGCAGAGACATCCGCTACTTTTTAAGATTATGTTTGCACATAGATTCCCACAGCAGGAAAGTCCTTCTCTTTTAAAGTTTAATAACTGGAGGAATGTCTTTCATCACTTCTCCCTTCCTGTGATATTTCCAGTAAAGCGTTTCATCTAAATGTATGCTCAAAACCACACAAACTCTTGGATATGTGTAATTAGGTATAAAACTGTCCCAAATGTTCAAACTGTACCATTAGTTTAAACCTGGCCTTGCTTACAGAGGTAGTTTTGAAGTGTCTGAAATAGAAGATGGGATTGCTTTGTGTAAGGTATTTTAAGCATTTAAAAGCCATTTTTGGTTACACTAAAATACGTCTATGTCTAGATGAAGCCTCAGGGGAGTTAGCATGGAATCATGGAATATTCTGAGCTGGAAGGGACCCACGAGGATCATCAAGTYTGACTCTTAAGTGAATGGCCTGTATGGGGATCAAACTCACAACCTTGGTGTAATTATAGCACTGTGCTCTAACTAGCTTGATTGAAAGGGATTGATCACTGTGGTGTTGATCTGGTCCAAATCCCCCCTGTAATAAGCCRGGGTGTCCAATACAAACCAATCTATGAATCCGTGATCTCCGCTTTATCAGATTGCTCAGAGCAGAGTCCAAACTRACCTGGAATTTTTACACAGGGGACAGCCACTGCCTCTCTGGGCCGCATGTGCCAGTATTTTGCCACCTTCGTTGTAAAAAATTTCTTCCTCGTATCTAGTCAACATCAACCCTCTTTTAGTTTTAAACTGTTACAGGCCCTACTGAAAAGTTTGTCCCCATCTTTCTTAGAAGTCTCTTTTAAGTATTGAAAGACTGCATGAAGCTCTTCCCCAAGCTTTCTGCAGGCTGAACAGCCCCAACTCTCTCAGCTGCTCTTCRTAGATTATTTTGGATGCTAGTGGAATGCCAGGGTGCGGACCTATTCCGTTAGTCTTTGCAATTTCAGCAACATTGAAAGAAAGCGSTTAATGATGCTGCAGTATCAGGTCAACCTAGAGAAGTCTCCTACTTCAACACACAGGGGTAGCATTTCAGCTRACAGTTTGATTCTGTGATGAATAAGACTACCTATGGGATTTTTYATGCGCCCGATAAGGAACATGGCAACATACTTAGTTTAGATCTAGTCTCATTGATGCTGGTTATTTAGACTCCTCCACAGAAAACATGAGACTTTTCCAGACTAAGGACTTTGCTGCTTCGCAAATAGCTAACCCATTTTCTACATCGAGACAAAATTTTCAAGGTGAGGAACCGCTCCTTTGTTAAAATCCTTTCTCAAGTGAGCTGATGTTAGCTTATCCCTGCGGCTGTGCAGAGGAGGACGTGCTTTTTCATCCAGCCGTAACTGGGCGCTTGCCCGAAGCAGCGAAAGGCGGGGGTGCCTCCGGAGCGCGACTCCGCCCGTCTCCTCTCGGCCCGCAGCGCTCGCGGGGCCGCCGTGCCCGCTCGTTAGCGAGATGTGGTGGGTTCGACCGTGCCCGCTCGTTAGGGAGATGTGGTGGGTTCGATCGTGCCCGCTCGTTAGCGAGATGTGGTGGGTTCGACCGTGCCCGCTCGTTAGCGAGATGTGGTGGGTTCGACCGTGCCCGCTCGTTAGCGAGATGTGGTGGGTTCGCAGCGGACACGAGCCGAGCGCGGGTGCACCGGGAGGGGCGCGCGGTGGCACCGGGCGCTGCGCGTAGCCCTGGCGGCTGTGGGGCCGTTTGTCACCTCTGTAACTCCGTAGAGAAAACCATCTGAGGTAAAACTAAAGCTTTCTTTTGTCGGATAGCTCATATTGCAGGATCAGTTGTAAATTTCTTATTAACAGTTTAAAAGAAAATTGTCTTTTACGGTAGCTGACATTAAAGAACGGATTTAAGGTTCATAGCTTTAATTACGATGTCGCTACAGCCTGGGGCAGGTCAGCGAGAGATACTGGGTTTTCAGGATAAAACAGCATGAAGYCCCACCGGTCTCACAATGATGTCTCGGAGAACCGTCACTCGGGGGCTCCTCAGCTCTCAAGGTGACTGAGCACATTTTCAGAAACATTCTTTGTTCTCAACTACCATTCAGATATCTCAGCAGTTCACTGTGAATCATTTGGTAGCCCTTCTTAAAATTTGCTAGTATTTCTAAAAGCCTTGGAATGTAAGTGGGAATAGAGATAATAAAATTTTGTCGAACACGACTACTATACAGTCCGATCCATGCTCTGACTCATGCGAGCCAAGGTAAACCTCTGTTCAAACTAGCTTTGAGCTCAGAACCGAAGCCATTCGAAATTTTTCAGTTATTATGAAAAGGGCTCTGGTTCCTGCTACAACTGTTCACATGAAAAAAAGAAATCTGCTTTTAACTGACGCATTTTAATATGCAAGGTAGATAATGTTTTAAAAATCCATTACGGGAAACAAAAATTCTATCTAGACCAAAGGGGTCCTGAATGAATAAATCCAGGGACAGCCTATAGAAACACTGCCCTTTTGTGCAAATAGCTGCAGACTTCRCGAGTGCAGTGCCATATAAATTGATTTACAGGTCTGCCTCAGTAGCAGTCTTTGTAATTGATTCTGATCGCTGTTTCAGTCAAGCCACAGTTTTGTTTTTCTATGTGCATCAGGAGCATGCTGAGTGTCTGTAACTACAGCTTTCCTGCAGGAGTTAGCATATTCATTTTCGTTGCTTACCTTGYGCCTCAATGTCTGCTGCTTCTTGAATCTCTAAGTCCTGCTCTTAGGCTAATGGTTCCAATTCTGGTGTTAACCCTGTCTTCTGAAGCTTGTATTTTTCTTCGGGTATCTCTGAAATACCTGCACTTTCCTAAAAGACAGAGTTTCTTCAGCTGAAACTCATTTTTTTGCCCCTCTGGAGTACCTGCATTTTTCTGTTTAAGGGTCAGCTGGTATGAAAGGCACTGTAGTTACCAATTTTAACGACCACTGTTTGAAAGAGAAGGAAGATAGTTAGCAGCTTTCTAGGTGTCACTGCACTGYATTTGCAGCCAATGATTGCAGTTGCTTCCCGCTTTTGTGTCTGGACCCAGCTCTAACCCCTTTTGACCAATGTTACTTCTTTATCATTTTGTGATATTTTTGAAACTTGTCGGGTTTCACTTTGAGAAACCCTACTCCGATCTGAACTATAGCAGAACTACACGGAGAGGACATAACTGYACCATCTGATGTCACGCTCTTTATSTCCTCGATCTCTTCTGCCTAGCTCCCAGCATCTTTTCTCCTGGCTGGGAAAGAATACTGTTAACACAAAGATGGAGCATACTACTACAGATATTTTATGACTGACATTTTAAATAGCTAGATATTTAACACACCTCTCATTTGCTTTCACARTCTTTATGCATTTCTACAACAAATCAGTTCAGACTTACTGTCCGCAGCTCTGGGAACTATYTCGAAAAAATATACAGAGAACGCGTGGGTCTTTTTCCAGATAGATCTTAACAGGGAATGGGTGAAATGAAGCACCGCACGTACTGTGCCTCCTCCACCCGGTGCCGCAGCACCAGGCTGCTAGCAGTGCTGTAGTCCCCACAGCAGCAAGTTTGTTTACCTTCCGTACTGTTCGAGCCACCGCCTGCAATATTTAGTCACTCATTTAAAAACAAACTGTGCTACTGCTGAGGAGATTGAGGCTGAAGGGAAGGGGAACTGAGGTGCCACTTTGCCAGGCGTTGAATTTGGGAGCAGTTCAGTCGAGGAGCAGTATTGGTAGGTGTGCGAGGGAGAAGGGCGTTGTGTTAAGGGTGGCTGTGCTGAATGCAGCGGGGGCAGAGCTGTGTGGTGCTGAGGAGCGGCTGCGGGCCTTTGGGCTCAGAAGCCTTCTTGGTAACACTGAACGAGCGTACTGCAAGAATAGCAAAATTGATAATCAAACTACTTTGCATAAATTTGGGGCATTGGTGCCACTCTCCATTAAACAAGTGTTCCGAGTATGCTTTGTTCTTTGTTCTACTTTAGTTCTTTCTGGACTTYTACATTTCCTCATTTGCCTGCTGAATTTCCTCCTTTGCCTTTTCAGGTCCTGCTTTGGGGTTTATTTCTTGTTTGGTTTTTTGTTTTGTTTTGTTGTGTGGTTGTGGGTTTTTTGGTKGGTTGGTTTGGTTTGGGGTTTTTTGGTTGTGTTTTCTTGTGAGTTTTTTCCCCTAATCATTAGAAGAATAAAAAATCAYCTAATCAGGCATTGGAACAGGCTGCCCTGGGAAGTGGTGGAACTKCCATCCCTGGATGCGTTCAAACAACATGTGGATTTGGCACTCGGGGACGTGGTTTAGGGGTGAACACAGCCATGTGGCATTAACGGTTGGACTCGGTGATCTTAGASGCCTTTTCCAGCCACAGGGATTCTATTATTACACTTCTTTTTATCCATCTAGATTTTATCCATCTCTCTAGCCATATTCTTGAAAGCTGTTTACTTCTCCAACCTGTGGGAGGCTATTTATTTTATATTAGTCCACTTCTTCTCTTGTTTTCTGTGATTGCCCGTTTAGTAATTTTGTCCTCCTCCACAGGTCTCCTTTCCGTTTTCCTTCCTATTGCACATAGTCCATCTTTTCTTGTCAGTTCCACTTCTCTTCTCCTAAATTCTACTCACAAATTCTTCCATTTCCTCATTCTCCCGCTCCAAACGCTCTTCCCTACATGTCAGCAAAGACTTGGGGAACCTTGAGCAAAAAATCTATTGTTTTTGTATCAGAGTAATTTTTCAGGTAAAAAGAACAAAGTATTTCTCATTTTCATAGACCTGTCTTCTCCCCTTCTTGCTTCTCCGGCCAAATRTAATGCTATTTCTGTTTTCAGGTTCCACATTCCAAGAACTGATCTGCATTGTAACCAGAAACTTTCCAAATAGCAATGGCCAGACTGTTTCAAGATCCATCTAAATTTCGTTCCTCAGAATGGCACACTGCAAACATGATGCAGCGTGCCAGTACAGAGTCCCAGAAATCCAAGTCAGAATGCATGATAGCTGAGAGTTGGAGGCTGGTGGATGAAATAGAAAAGACTACTCAAAAAACCCAAAGTGATGTCAACAAGAAAATAGGTAATCCCGTATCTTCTGGACGGGCCAAGATGTGTAATTTGAGATATATGTTTAAGATGGGCTTAGCAAATTAATTAATAATGAATGGGAGTGTATGTCAGTGCCATGCTTGTTGATGTCATGAAAAAATTAAAAATATTTTATAAAATATTTGGGGATCCTTTATTTTTATAACAAAAAAGATCCTTTATTTTTATAACAAAACAGACAGAAAGCTATTTTAAGCTTCTTGACTATTCCTAACCCTATTCCAAACTTCCTGACACAGGGTTGCAAAACTGTTTCTGCACAACCACAGCGCTATATGCGCTCCACTGTGGAACAAGTCTATCTTTAGCCGTATCTAAGATCTGAGCTATGGTCCTCTGCCTCATAAAATGGGCTCGTATTAATACATGTTCATTATTTTGATTCTACAGAACAGAGACGGGAAGAAATAAAATTCTGGAAGCAAGAATTAGATAACAAGCTAGAAGAAMTTGTTAATGAGACAGAGGTGCTGTTGACTTTCAAGAAGAGGCTGGAGAGAGCTTTGCAGGGCTGCAGGGAGCCGCTTGTCATTGACCGAAAGTGCCTCCTGTACAGGTGAGATTTTTTTTTTTTTGAGAAAAGCATTCAAGGACAATAAAAAAAACTAGGTAATGAACCTTTAACAAATAAAAAAAAAAAAAAAAAAAGACTGCACACTAAAGGCCTGTCTCTCTGCAGTGGAGTCAAAGTCTGATTTAGGTATTAAAACACTGGGGAAAGCTGAATTTCATCATCTTCTGTTAGCTGCAGGCATTTGAACAATGTGGCTGATGGTTTTTCCTTTTTTCATTTAGGCAGAGGCGAGTTGGGATTGACTTGGTGCATGATGAAGTGGAACGGGAACTGGAGAAGGAAGTTGAAGTCCTCCAGGGGATTATGGCTCTGCTTGAACGTACATTGGAACAAACTGATGAGCAAATCAGGTGCAGAGGCAAAAAGAATAATAGAATGCTAATTAGCTGAAAATTAAGACAACCACAATACCGAGAAGTTGCAGAGTCAGGCTGAGCACAGGTCTTAAGTTATCTTCAATGCTAAACAATTGCAGGAGGTCAGTCCTAATTCATACCGCTCAATCAGAAACAGTGAGAAGTTCTGCTTGYAGGTCTTCTTGTGATCCGGTCCCGTGACTTTAATTTCAGTGAGAATTGTACCATCAGTTTATAGAAAGGCAGCTTCAYACTGTAGATATTGGCAGCTAACGGTTAGTATGTGAAGATTTCTGTGACAGCATTTAAATTACATAATGTGGGTATGCTTGTGCATTAAGGACACTCGTGGGTGCTTACGCTTTGTCTTAGAGTCTGGTTGTTTCTTCTCCTAGACGAAACCGTTCAGCAAAATACAGCCTGGAAATGGATCTGAAGGACAAATTCATGGCTTTGACGATTGATGATTACTGTGCTAGCTTGACAAATGACACTCCCGGTATCATATATGCTGATAATGCAATGAAACTAGAAGGAAAGTAAGTGGTTCCTTAGTTCAACAAACATATGATAGTTATACATATAATATGGGCTGTCCCAATAATAGTCAGATTAGTTTTGTGCAAATCAGGCTTTATCTTTTCACCATCTAGTTGTTTCTTATACTTCTGTCCATCTGCATAATATGTATCTGCATAATATGTCTGTGAAATAAGGCACAATAATTATGCTCGCAGTGAACTGCATCTAACTACAAGTTTTTGAAGCTCACAGTTAGCTAAGGAAGAATTTCACATATTGTTTAAACCCAGAACAGATTTACTGATCTTAACTTCTTTCCTCTCCCAGGGTGTCCCGGTGGGGAGAAAGCTGGACTGGGACACATGAGGTGTGGAGTCAGTTTCTGACTCGGTCATTTAAGGTGTCAAATGTGCCCCTTTCACATGGGTTAGATAGTGTGAAAGGTTTAAATGGAAAAATAGCTACCGCAGAAAAATGGGCTGAAAAGAGGAACTGTACTGAGAAAGCGATGTGTGTGAGAGCCTCACAAAGTCACTGTTGCTATGCAACAACTGGCAAACTTGCAACTCTGAGAGACTGTGACAGCTTTTGCTGCCAGCACGTTAGTGTGCATCAACAACAGGTTGTGCAACTCGGACCACGCCCAGAATGGTGTTGGCCCCTACGTGCAAATGACAATTACGTTATATATCCACCYAATGAAACAAGGAATGAACCCTCTGAGGAACTTTCCAAACACCTGCCCGTGAGCCACAGCAGCACAAGGATGACCCTCTAATTCTGGGGATAGAGTTGGGGATGGGCTTCTCAACTGTTGCTGCAGATAGGTACTGTAAGTGTCTTAYAGGTGAACTGTGCGAAAGAATAAGTGACTGTGTTGTGTAAATAGCTACCTGCTAATAATAGTAACAGCTTTATTAATGAAAGATGTTCTAAGAAATATTTGTTACTATCTGTGTTTCTCTCCGGATAGCTTAATACTTCACCAAGGGAAAAGAAATTTATAGCAAAGTGGCTCTAAGACTAGCAAATTTGTTTTCATCTGACTCTCATCTACCTAATTAGAAAATGATTTTGAGAGGGAGTCTTTATTTTGTATCTGTAAAATTCCCAGCAAAGTGGCACTTACTGGGACATGCAGTTACAAGTACTGCTTTGTTCTTGATTTTTTGGTGTAATTACAGGTTTATAAAGTCATAGAGGGCCTGCTGTTGTCTGTTGGTGACCTTTTATTTTGAATCTCTTTCAGTTTTGTTAGCCTTGAGGACTGGTTAGATTTCTCAAGTGTAAATGTAGAAAAGGCCGACAAGCAGAAAAATTGTTCTTTGGCACTGAGGACACTTATTGATGGCATCCTCTCGCAGATAGCCAATGACATGCGCAAGCAATGTGAGATGGTGAACGCTGCTTTTAGAAATTGGGTGAGGGAAGTCAAGGATGCCAAGCACAAGCTAGAGACATTGATTGCAATGGTAAGTCATAGGGGACAGTYGGTGAAAAAGTGGCAACACTGGGCTTGGATTATCTACCGGTTTTCCCAATCCAGTGCGATTTGCACTAATTTGCTATGTTTTCCTTTCTGTTCCTTTCTCCCTCCTCCATAAACCTCATCTTAGATTTTTTTTTTGTTTTGTTTTTTTTTTTTTTTCCCTCCTCCATAAACCTCATCTTAGATTTTTTTTTTGTTTTGTTTTTTTTTTTTTTTTTTCTCAGCCCTGTGTGCACCACCAGAGAGACAAATTTCTGGAACTGCTAATTAAGTCTAAATGTTGCTGTAGCTGTCAGTAAAGTTAGGATTTTCCTTGTGATTTTTAGTTGCATGGGGCTCCTATAGCTTTTTTGGGATTGTGATATAACAGCCTGATAATTGATAAAAGCAGGGTCAATGTGCTCAAAATTTGACACATGAAAACTGAGTATTAATATTAAAAATTAATTGCTGAGCATAAATTTCTGGGTTTGCCCAGAACAGCATCATTTTTGCTTTCCAATGAAGGAATCGTAGTACTGGCTAAGCTTTGCAATATATCCTTCAATGAAATAACAACATAACGAGTGATTGTTAAAACTGTAAAAGATKATGACGATTTCACACGTTGTAAGAGGCGATGTGCAGAATTTCGGTCTGTTGGATTTGTTAAGGTGATGGATGAGATCGCCTCGCAGGAGAAGAACATTGCTGCCTTAAAGAAAGCAATCGCTGATAAGGAAGGACCTGCAAAAGTGGCTCAAACCCGCTTGGAAGCGAGAAACCATCGCCCCAATGTGGAACTGTGCTTTGACACAGTGCACTGCAGCCTGATGAGTGAAGTTCACGAGATTACCAAAAATATTCAAAGGTAAGTGGAAATGATGAAAATCTGTGGTGTAGATTGCTGATCAAATTAATCAGTTTATTAATCAGTTAATTAAGATTAAATTAACTTTAATGTGTCAGAGTAACAAWGGGTCCCAGCTATTCTCCCTTAAAAGTTGGTAATTGCTTTCCCCTCTCAGGGGCAGGACACCTTAAGGGAAGTTGCATGGATATTGTCTCTATGACTCCCTTTTCATCTTTCTTTTTCTTGCTCAGAGTTCTTAACCCATATGAGAAAAAAAACCTATCCCTGTATTTTTGATTAATGCCTGCCTCTATTTTCCCTATTAGATTAAAGGACGCATTGGCTCAGGCTGAGATAGACCTGAAAGCCCTGAGCCGCCGACAGCTTTCCTTGGAGGAAGAGATCAAGGTCAAGGAGAATACACTGTACATTGATGAAGTGCTGTGCATGCAAATGAGAGAGTCTATTTGCATAAACAATTACTGAAGTCATTGTACTGGGAGACTGTGCTCCAAAGAACCAGCTCCTGCTGAAACTTTACCGACAAACTTCCAGATTTATTGGCTTGGCTCAATGCTGTCTAATTGTGCAAGGTAATTAAAASAGGCCTAGTACTTACAGCTGTTTCACAGCTATCTATGCTTTAAAATGTCTGATGAAATCTTCCATTTGGCAATAAAATTCCAGAATAATAAGAAATGCCCCTTCTTCCATGTTGTTTCTCTCACATGCAGCCAATTAAATCTTTTGCCATTGTAAAGTGTCAAAAGGTGACTCTGAGCAGGAATCTCCTCATAAAACACATGTTGGAAAGCTGGGCAAGTGGGAGGGATGTCCCTCGAAACCAGCCTTGTTATGTTTTGTTTTTATCATCTGCTGCTAAGAACTAGGCAGAGTGTTAAAATTAACAGGACTTACTGAGCTGGTACACTAGATRGTGCATCTGTCTGCATCTGAATCGAGATCAAGTAAGGGCCAACTTTGGGAAAATCACTTCCTCATGCCATGTCTCAGTTTCCCTATCTGCAAAGTGGAAACAGTGAGATGGGCTTCAATGGTAAATTGTTTGAAGCTCTACAGTGAGAAGTGATGAAAAAAGAGGAGGGTCTTGTTTTTATCAGAGATACCTGTAAGGGTGGAAAAAGGATCACAGCTTCCTTTGGTTCTGGCAAGAAAAAACAAAGCAAGGGCAAAAATAAACGATGCTGCGGACAAAGGAGTCYGGTTCCCAAGTCCAACATTTTAATGCATGGAGTTTAAAATTGTCCCTTGCCTCTCGCTAGCTGGAATGGTATCTCCTTTTCAGAGGCATTGCTGTCGGGATTCAAATCCCTTACTAAAGCCCTTCGTTACTGCAGACGTCACTGGGTGTTCTTCTCTCCCTGTAGTTTACACCATTGGGTAGGTGATGACAAAATAATTAAGTTCTGAGTCGATCAGGCACTTGAATTTCCTGTAAATATCAGCCAACARCCGTTCCTCCTCAGTGCTGTCATCTTGGGCTGTATAAATCCTCACCTGTGTGCACAAACAGTAGTCATATCTCTCAGATACAGGGAGCTCAGCACATCAAAGCTCGTGGCAACAAGAAGCATCTGTGACTAAAAGAATCYAGAGGAGCAAAGTTCCTTGGATTTGAATAGAATCTTGAGGCTTAACTCTCYTCCCACTCCCAACTGACTGAAAATATCATCTCCTGACAAAGAATTTTTGGGAGGTGTTGGGAGGAATGGGTTAAACAGCTRAAAACTAGCGAGGAGTATTGTCAGATCTGATGCAGACAGGAAGAGCAAGGCTCTATTTACCCCCAGAACTGATGCATACCTGGGATYTGCACAGATCTGCGAGGACCTACTGAATTCAGATTGTAGCACACAAAGCAGCATGTCAGCATTGTTTACACCCTCTACAGCTGAGGTCTGGCCCCAGTTCAACACAGGATCCCTAAAGAGTGTGATGTGTTTGTATCTTGTTGCTGTTTGGTGGGATTCAGCYGGGATTCTGTCTTGGTTTAAGCACAGACAAAAGCGCTGAGCTTGAGAGGAAACTAAGCCCTGGAAGTGGGAGAGGGCTTAAATTAGAGGTGGCAGAGGGAATGCCAGTCTAGGAAGGAATGCCCTTCCTAGACTGGAATTTTTTGGAACTTCAGATTAAACTTCTATAGTATCTGTGTACGGCTAGGTAGGTTTGAAGGTCCCATTTTAGCAGGTTCCCAGGCTTTTTAGTACTGAGACATAACACAGAGGAGATAGTTACATTAACATTCCTGTAAGTGACCTTTGACTGGGCATGGTGATATAACCTTTCTCTGGGTATAGGAGAGAGAAGGGGAATGGGARTTTTGAAGAAAAAAGTCTTACCTTTATGGTGGTCAAAATGCATTTCCTTTCTGCACGGTTTTGTAATAGCCTCTCCATAAAGCTGACACTTAGAAATGCCCAGACTTTCAGAAATAACAACCTCTTGCATGATAAGATAAGCTGTAGCAGCTCATCATCCAGCAACTCATGGTCATTGTTCAATTCAAGTGTTAATTTCTTGAAAAAGAAYGAACACTGTTAGTACTACTGAACTACTTTGAGCACAATAACTAGAATTCAACAAATAGCTTTCCAAGTTAACCAACTAAAGTGAGTGCCAGCRGATCAATTTTGTACCTTGATATTAGCTGAGAATATGTTTTGCATTATGACAAGAGTGTATTTGCTACAGTAAATAGTTCTTTTAAGATGGGATGGTCCCTTGGGCATGCATTAGAAAATGCTGCACCCACAGTCACGCCACGATCTGACTTGACATACTGAAAACTATCCCAGAGACAAGAGTAGAGCCAGTGATGGTTTCTAGAAAGCTTTACAGGTCGCTGGCATTCATTGGAAATTCTGCAATGCAGTTGGACGTACGGAAAGCTGTCAGCAACCATGGRGTATGAGTCCACATGTTTCCCTGTGGCATGCAAAAGCCCGATGCTCGCTTACCGTTGCAAACCTTTGGTGACGCATTCCTTGTGACACCGAACTGCTTTGACACAGGCACTAGTTAATTTAGATGTGCTGCAGGAGGGCATTTGTGTGTTGCCAAATAGAGCAGCCCGATAGCGATAACCCGATAACTGGACAAGGACAATTTAGTGAACTGCACTATAGCTGAAACACTGAAATGATTCACAAAATCTGCCCTCTGAATGTAAAACTGAAGCAGTTGGGAACTTGTGTTGCTCACTGCTATTATGCAGGAGGCCTACATGATTACTTTGCTTAACTTTGTGATACTGCAGTAGGRTGTCCCTATTGTTTCCCTTACCTGCAGACCATGCCAGTAAGCTGGGAGAAGGTTGGTGAGGGTAGGTCTCATGGTCCAGTCTGGGTCACTAAAATAACAACTCCGTAGGCTGATGCTCCTCACTGGGATCTCCACTAGCAGGATCCTGGCTAGGTGGTCATGCTTCATGACTCTTTCAAAGAAGAAGTTCACGTTCAGTTTCGGGGCTCTCTTGGCCAAGTTTGCCCACGACATTCCTGACACCACTTGCCCGTGAGGGTCATGGATATGACACTTGATATTCAAGGTGCACAGAGAATGAGAGCTGTGCTCCCGCAGGATGTCCAGCAGCTCATCAGAGATGCAGTTATAATTGAAAGTCAGGATGGTCAGGCTGTGGAACTTYGACATAGTTTGGTGGAACAAGGCACTGCTGTAGACAGAAAGGTGGAGACTGAAGAAATCCTCAATATTGATTTCAGATATAAAGCTTCTATTTGTCAAGCTGCTCAGAGAATTCAGAAGCTCGCAGCCTTCTTCCAAAGTTATTCTTGCTCCTTTTAAGTTGAGATAATCAAGTTGATTGCTCATTCTTTTCAGGAAGGCAGCTAAGTTCTTGATAAACTGAGYCCTAATGACATTTTTCCAGATCAAGCAGTCTAATTCTAGGTACTTGATGCTCAGGGATACTAGGTGACTATTACACTTACCCAGGTGTGAAAGAAGACCTCTCAYAATCACTTGAAATTTTTTTATAAAGGGAGTATTGTAAGGATTGGATAACTTGATCTCGAGGTGCTTCAAATACTTGCCAAATTTCTTGGTATACCACAGTGCACTTTGAAACTCCAGTGTGCGTGCCCTGGATGGTTGGCCGTAGAATGTGATGGTTCTGCATCTCCAGAGAGATCCAGAGTACATGGCACAACTCCATTTTTTACAGACCAAGGCAGCCCGAGATCTGTCCCTGTCATCTAACCAATGGAAGACATGCCTCAGACAGACATCAGGCAGATAGGCCCAGGAGCTTTGCTCAGGATCGCTGTCATCTTCCATTGAGAGGACTTCTCTTCTGGGTGTTGAGTCAAACCTACACGCAGAAAATTGTGGGTAGATTTTTTTACCAATCCCAACAGGCTTCTAAACAATAGATACAAGTGCAGGACAAGTTCACGATACAAGTGCAGGACACATCTTTTAGCTTTATGGCMTTCACCTGCAGTCTAGATAAACGGTGAAATAGTACCAACTGCTGCTAAAGCAGCCACACCCTCTGAGAAACCTTTGGTTAGCAYCAGCTGTAATTAATTGATCACGGTTTGTGGTCTGATGCCTGGTGTTTAAAGGTACTCAGTCCTTTGGGCTATATACATTTGAACAGGACTGTCAGCRCAAAATTAACTCTAATGACTTCTCATAGCCTTCTGGGGTACCATTCATGACAATTAGTACCCTACCTTAGATTAAGGTACAATTCCTGTTGAGTATAATAAGCAATATAAGCGGTTCCATCACTCAGTTCAAGCAGGATGTTCAGGCATTGTGCTCTAATGGACAGGGAGCAGGCTGGCAAGCTGGAAGACCAGCTGGGTCTTTGTAAGTTCACCTAAGCAAACAAACCATGGTGCAAGAAGTTACTAGTTCTTCTAGTACTACTGGACACAGGGGAAGAAGTCTAATGCTTCAGCTACCTGGAAGCCCTGAAGTCAATGGACAGAGAAAAGCAGAACAGCATATAGGGCTGCAATATATAGAAACACATCTATTAATAAAGCATATTTATTACACTATATTAATAATTATTTAATATGGGAATACAAAAGGGTACAAACACCATCAGGTGGAGCTCTTTAAAAAAAMCTGTTCTTAGGAATTTATAAAAAATATGCTTATAAGCCAGTGGTGAGATTCAAAAGGTATCCCACAGTGTTATTGGGTTGGCTTCCCCGTCGCTATAAGCCAAGACGTAGCTAAGGAYGTGTCTTTAGCTGTCAGCGCTGAGTTTAACTTGGTCGTGGGAAGACAAATGATGCTGCTACAACTCTTTCAGTTTTTGTTCTGAAAGATGAGCAGTTTTTTTCAGGTAGAAGTAGTTTAAAGACATATATACAGATATATATGCTTTGCATGGTTTGTTGGCCTCTAGGATAAGAAAAAAGCAAATCAAAACAAAATTTCCCACCACCAAACAAATTAGCCCTCTTTGCTGTTCGATTTGCTTCAGAGGGCATCCCGGATGGTTTACACTCCCACACGGACCGTTAGACCAGCTGGGTCCTCCAGCAAGAGCTGCAGAMGCCCGTGAAGTAAAAGCAAAYAAACAAAAAMTTTGTAAGACTTTGACCGGTAACTATTTACCAGAAGTAACAGGAGCTGTGGCTTGGATACCCAAGTGGGTAACCCAGCCTGAGTCCTTTTACTACTCCAGTTGACACAGCTGACCCGGATCTGTGGGCCGAGGTCCGCAAAGGCGCCAGACCCACGGCCGGGGGGAGGCAGTGGGGGCAGCGCA